CTTCCTGAATGGTGATCTTACAGAAACAGTTTATATGGTTCAGCCTGAAGGCTTTGTGAGTCCTCATCATCCTCATCATGTTTGTCGGCTGACCAAGGCTCTTTATGGTCTCAAACAGGCACCAAAAGCCTGGTTTGATAAATTAAAGAAAGCCTTTCTTGGTTGGGGTTTTAGTCACTCCTTGGCAGATCCTAGTTTGTTTATCTATCAAAAGGATGAGAATGAGATGTACGTATTGGTGTATGTTGATGATATATTACTCATAGGCAATGATTCCAGCTTAGTTCAGCAAACTGTCACTGATTTAAACACTCAATTTGCTTTAAAAGCATTAGGATCCCTCAAATACTTCCTGGGTTTTGAAGTGACAAGAAGTGAGTCAGGCCTTCATATGACACAGGAAAAATATGTCAAAGACTTGTTGGTCAAAACTATGATTGACAGCAAGTCTTGCCCCACTCCAATGGTAGTTGGGACCAAACTCACCCTTGAATATGGTGAATCATTTGAAAATTCAGCTCTCTACAGGAGTACAGTTGGTGCATTACAGTATTTGACACTGTTTAGACCAGATATCTCTTATGCTGTGAATAAGCTGAGTCAATTTTTGAAAGTTCCCACTCAGTTACATTGGCAAGCCTATAAAAGGTTGCTTAGATATCTTAAGGGTACTTCCAATTATAGTCTTTAGTTTTGCCCCAGTCAGAGACTTAATTTGGCATGTTATACGGATGCTGATTGGGCCAACAGTGTCCAAGACAAGAGATCCACCAGTGGTTGCTGTGTTTTTTTGGGAAACAATCTGATTCAGTGGTATTCTAGGAAGTAGAAGGTTGTGGCTTTATCATCCACAAAAGCAGAATATAGGGCTCTTGCAGAAGGCTCAATTGAACTTGCTTGGTTTAGCAGCTTATTTTCTGAAATTGGTCTCATTCTCCTTGAAGTTCCTATCATCTGGTGTGATAACCAAAGTGTAGGTTATCTTGCTTATAATCCAGTTTTTCATGGTAGGACCAAGCACATTGAATTGGATGCTCATTATGTGCGTGAACAAGTCACAAACAATAGACTTAAAGTGCAATATGTTCCTACTAAGTATCAAAAGGCTGACATCTTCACCAAAGCACTTTCATTGTCCAGATTTGTAGTTCTTTGAGAGAAATTGACTATCACACCATCTGCTGAAGTTTGTATAGATACATGATTGATTCTGATGTTTCTACATATTCTTGCAAGTTTCTTTGATGATTGTTTTGGCTGAAAATGTGATTGATTCTGATGGTTTCTTTGATGATTGTTTTGGTTGGAATGGTGATTAATTCTGATGGTTTCCTTGATGATTGTTTTGGCTGGAATGGTGATTGATTCTGATGGTTTCCTTGGTGATTGCTTTGGCTGGAATGGTGATTGATTCTAATGGTTTCCTTGATGATTGTTTTGGTTGGAATTGGTTCAGTTTTTCAGAAGTTGATTGATGATTGTTTTGTCTAGAATTGGTTCAGTTTTTTAGTTTGACTGGAATTGGTTCAGTTTCTTAGTTTGGCTGGAATTTATTTAGTTTTTCAGAATTTGTGACTCTGTTTCAGATTTCAATTTCTCAGTTTGGCTGGAATTGGTTCAGTTTTTTAGAATTTGTGACTCTGTTTCAGATTTCAAATTTTGAGACTTTGGCTAAAATTGCTTCACTTTCAGAATTCAGATTTTCTCTGCTGATATGATTACAGTTCAGAATTTTAGATTCTTTGCTGATATGGGTACAAGAAGACTTAGCTCACTAATACAGCATAATCTATTTACTCTGCTTGTTTACTATGTCCACTGTTCACTTTATATAAATGCTTCCTTGTAATATTTTTTAATTGAATAAAAAGTTCTCAAGTTAAACTCTCGAAGACTCTCTTTAGACCTCTTTTATTTTTCTTTCTTTTGAATACTCTTCTTCCCTAACTGGGTTCAATATGAATTTAAACAGAGTCAAAATTGTAAATACTATAAAATATAAAGCCTTTTTTTTTTTTTTTTTTCAAAATTTGAGCGGTTTGAATCAAGCTCATATGTTATAGTGTGGCTATAAGACCTGGCAAAACGGGTTGGGACCCGCGGGTCGACCCCATACCTGGGTAAATTATATAGGGTACGAGTCTGTATTATTAAACCCGTTTTTTAAGACCCGTACCCGACCCTACCCATTTTGTAAACAGGTAGACCGGGTACACCTGCGGGTGCCCGCGGGTACCCATTTTCAATTTAAAGAAAAAAGCCCTGACATTCTTTGACTTTCCCTTTCATAGCATGTGATGTGAGCAGACGCCTAAAAACTAAAACACCTTTTGTTTGCCTTCTCTTTCTCTCTCCAAACTTAACTTCTCTTCTCTTTTTTCATTTCGCAGTCCGCGCCTTTCCTATCAAAATCATTCACAATCTCCATTCATTCCCCTTCCCTAACCCACTAATTTTTCTTCCCAAAGAGTTTTTGAACAACCCACTCTTCTTCTTTGCGACTAAGGGGCTACTGCCTACTGGTATAATAGATCCAATTGATGGCGTAAAAAAAACTTGAATTCACCCAGCCCTTCTCACTTCTGGTTGATCAAGATAGGTTGTAGAGCAGCACATTTCCATTTCTTCAAATTGTTTTCTCTTCGTGTTTCTCAAGATTTCGGAGCTTTTAAGAATTTTTCTTTTTTGGGTTTGTTTTGTGTGGTTGACTTATAGGAAGAATGAAAAACATTGTGTACTTTTGGAAACAAGTTTTCTTGTCTTTTTGTTTTTCTAAGGATTTGAAGATTTTGAGGTTATTCTTTTTTGGGTATTTGCTTTTGGGTTTGGGTTTGGTTTGAAGAATGGTGATAAAGATGATGAGGTGGCAGCCATGGCCGCCTCGTGTGAGTTGTGACGAAGAAGTACGAGGTGAAATTGGTGGTACAGAGGATGGAGGGGTGGGATCTGGCGCATCAGATTGCAGAGAAGAAGGAAGAAGAAAGAACAAAGATTAACAGTTGAGATTCGTTGGAAGGGTTCTAAAGTCACCTTGAGTACTTCAAGAAGAAGGGCTAAGAGGAACTTCACCAGAAAAGCGGGCACCCACGGGTCCACCCGTACCCGTATAGGGTAGGGTACGGGCCTAAAGTATTGGACTCGTTTAAGACCCATACTTTAGGCCCGTACCCGTAAGACTCGTACCTGTTTAGACTCGGACTATACCTAGCCCACCCGCCCATTTTGCCAGGTCTAGTGGCTATGTGATACTATATTATAGAATATAATATTTTTCTGATCTTGTTCTTTATATTTAGATGAGACGTTATGACAAGAGTAACTATAATAAAATAAAATAAAAAACTAGAAATGACTCTAACAAGAACTCAACAAACAGGTAACATGAAAAGTCCCAATTAAAATTATTTTGTTTTAAGCATATATTCACATATCTTATATGATACATAACTAAGAAGTTAACTAAAGACTTTTTTTCTTTTCTTTTCTTTTCTTTTCTTTATTAGTTTTTCCATAACATGGATCATGTATACTGTTGGAATTGGGAGTGATTAATCTTAATTCACACAGCCCAAAATGTGACAAACACTTTGAAAGAAAATTGAATTTTCTTTATTATCAATATGAATGACTCAAAATACAAAGAAAACATTCCATCTCTTTTATAGTAAGAGACTATGATAATAATCCTAATTAAAAGCTACTTCTTAATTCAATTTAAGCTAAGGAAAGGAAAATACATATTTTCGAACTCACATTCCTACTTACATTCAAAGTAAAAAGGAAAACAAATAATCTTAATCTTAACTTCCTAAAACTGGAAACCAACTAAAACTAAAACTTCTTGAATTGCAAGTCACGTTCCATTTGTGCGGCGGCATAACTTAACTATGCCGCTGCAGACGTTAAGCCTTCCCACGTTCCTCCATCGTGCTGCGGCAAACATGGTTTTGGAATTTTTCCAGAACTCACCACTTTCCCGTGCCACGGCAAGCTCTCCTTGTGCCGCGGCAAGTTCTCCTCTGGCCATGAACTTGATTTCTTTCATCCCAACGCTGCAACTCCTTGTTTCTTCTTTCTTCTTAACCATGACTATCATTGCATTCACCAAAAAAAGGTTCAATTTTCAACATATACAATCATTTCCAAATGTAGATTTTAATTTTTCAATCCAGGCAAATAATGTTACAATGATCAGTTTGCTTTATTACTTGTTACTTTCATCGTTTCTCTCTTCACAGAAAAGTATCATTAATTGGTTCATGTGGACCAAAATTATATAATAAGCATAACATATGATAGGAGGAAGGTGCCTAGCATTGGTTCATAAATGTATGACCTAAGCAGTTTATGAAGCATAAAATATTTTTGGTTTCCATTTTTTCAAAATGCAATATTGTGACTTTATTTGAAAGAAATAATTAAATTAAATTGATAATTCATTAAATATCAATTCATTGTAATACAAAAAAATTCAGTTAACTATTGACTATATGTATGTATTACCCATTAATTAATTAAAATTGTTTTTCGCTTCCACTGGAGCCTATCATTGACGGTCATGTTCTGTAACAGCTATATCAAAAATAAAAATAAAAAGTGGAGATTAATGCATGCATGTTGTGCATGTTGCATGAAAATCTTACGCAAACCCAAAGATCGATGTAAACTTATCAAATTTTCTACTTTTACTACTTTTATAACTCTTATCTCTTTGGTAATTCAACCAGTAACATCTAATTAACCATCACTTTTTTACTTATCAATGTTGAGTTTTTATTTAATACCTTGAAGTTTTAGGTCAAATATAATTTTAATATGGTCTAAGAGTTGAAGATCTTAAATTTGAATTCTAAGATTTCAAATAAATAAAAAATAAATCTATGTTTCATGTAAAAGACATAAAGCGCCCTACCAGTTACTTAATACAACATTCACATTAATAATTAATTCAATCCAAAAACACTAAATTATCATTACACATGGAGATTAATTCTAATTAATTAACAAGACCAAAAGCTAGGAAGTAATACATCTGCTGAAAACGGATGCTCTAGTTGATCACAATAGTAATAATCATTTGTAATGTGGGTTAAAATTGGATCATAAGAACAAGAAGCATATAGAAAAAGTTGCTGCTCATCCATCACATCTGTGTTCATATTCTGACCGAAACCAGGCTCATAAATCTTCTCCGTTTGATCGATAGACTGCGGTGGCTGCAGTTCTTCATCGACAAATGCCGATTGCATCTCCATTATGGAACAGCTTCCCCCGGATTCATTACTCAAACTGTAATACTTTTTAACATTCTCCACCTCTTCTTGCACTTGCACAGTTTGGTTTCCCTTATATTTAATCTTACAAATTCTCCATTCCTGAACAATATCAAAACCCAAATTATGTTAAAAAAATAATTAATCCAACTGAAAGTTCAGCAAATTATACAAGAATTAATGAAAAGGTGATAAGTATACAAACCGTTGTGTAGGATTCGAGACTGTATTCATACATAATCCAATTAGTTTTGACGGCTTTGTTTCGCTTTCTTTTATCGTCCTTAAACTTGTGAAATGTGAGAGGTCTTTTGTAACCAACCACACATTCTTTATTAGCGTTAATTTTTTTAACATGGCTTGTAGCTTTCCACCATCCTCGACCTGAAACTTCTCGAGAATCATTCTCTCTTATACAGTAGAAATATCTCTCGTTCTTATGTACGGCCATGGTTTGATCCCCTATCAACAAAATGATCCATCAAATAAATAATTAACTTAGCACAAAAATGGCATTCAAATATTACAAATAATCATGTTGAAACAAATCTATTAACCAAAAAAAAAAAGATGAACTGTAAAAACCATTAAAGAACTGCGATGCCTCCTCGCATCGGTCCAACCATACTGCGAGCCTGGTCAGTACAGAACAGTTTTCTTGTGGTGAGTAAGAAGATTTAGATGCTAGTAATTTAAAGTCTCGTAGGTTCATAACAGCTTGGTGTGTAAGAAGATAAGCTTTGTGGGTACATATAAGTTTTTATGTGGTGAGTAAGAAGATTTATATGCCGCTAACTATCTTAAAAGAAACAAAGTTCAAAGAAGGAAGGCCCGAAATGTGAAGATAGAAGATGAAAGTTTAAACTGAAATAATCCTAAACCCTGAATGAAGCTGAACACATAAGAAGACGGATGAATAACATGAAGAAATTTCAAAAAAAGGAAAAAAAAAAAAAAATTGAGAGAGAGAGAGAGAGGCTGAAAATTAAAACTTACATTCAAGGTCTTCTGGTTCATGTTCATATAAGTTTCGTTCAACAATGAAACAGTCATGGAGAGGCATTGCTTTTCCAGAAACTTTTCTTTCCAAAATTTCGATGAGCTCCTCATCGGTGGGATTGAATCTGAACCCAGTTGGCACAATCATCTGTTTTGGTTTCTGTTTAATTAATTTCTGATAGATCAACTGTTTGTATAATAGTGGCCCTGGCCTTCACTGTACAGTAGTTTTTATAGGGAAATTTACTGGCAACACAAAGATAATTAGAATCCTTTAGATCCAAATAATAGTAAAGTACTAAAGTAAGAATATAAAGAAGAAGAGAGAAAGGAACACATTATAAATGATGTTTGAAAAAGATTATAATGAATTTATATTTTTTTATTAAAAAGGAAAAGTTAGTCGGACTGGACTGCAGGAGCTGTAAATGTATGTTGAAGTCAGAGCCTCAAACTTATAGTCAAGTCACAAGTCAGAGCCCCGCCCCTGCTCAAACCAAATTTTTCTTTTTAATTTTATTAGATAGATAAGTACAGTACAACAAATAAATTTTAAAAAAAATATTCATAATTAGAAAGTTAAATTTAAAATTGATTGTAACCATAAACATGGTAGTGAGATTAGGGTTTTTTTTTCCTAGTTCATTCTTTAATTCTTTGAACTTGAAAAAAGGAAATTAATATCAGCAAAAAACTTAATGGTAATTAAGAATGAAGATAATATCTTGGAATTACCAAAGAGCTCCAACAGTGATACATATAATGGATGAGCTTGATTGAAAGAGGAAAGAATATAGAAGGACTAATCTGTGAGGATTTTGTGCTGAGTTAAAGACGTTAGTTAAAAGCTCTGATATCAAGCTGAATAATAAAAACTGGTTTTCAATAAACAAACATTAGAGTAACCTAGTTGCTTATACATGCATCTATTTGGCAATTCATGTAACAATCCATGCGAACACTTCAATAAGGAGACCCCTGCAAAGGATGGGGTGGTCATTATTCACAATTTTAATTTATTTTCTTTGCTCTTTTTTTTTTTTTTAAATTTTTATGACGAATGTATTCGGACTAGTTTGTGCGTACATCAATTAATCTCCAAAGCTTATTGAACACTCTACAAACTCAATGTTCCAAGGTAAGTCATAAATGTGATAGGTAATCCCAAGGTAGTTCGAACCCAAGAAGTTCTTTGCTACTTTTCGATCTCTCAATTTTTGTATTTTATTGCATGGTATTAAAACCTATTACTTTCTCCCTTGCTTTCTTTGATATTTAAAATTTATACCTTAAATTCGGTTTATTTTAAAGAAAATGATAGTGTATTATATTTGTTATCCAACTTTTATATATTAAAAAGATCAAATTTTGTATCTTCTTAACTTTTTTAAAAATGAATGTTACTATAGGTTGAATTTTAAATAAGCAAAGCATTCTCCTTTGACAAAAAAATAAATAAATAAATAAATTTATGTTCATTGAACTAAAAGTAAAAATCCTGAGTCCATCCCTGCAAAGAGTGTCACATTAGTACGCATTACATACACGCACCGTATGGTTGCTAATTGTCCATACCACGGAGGCATTTATAGTGAATGAAAGATAACAATTAAGAAGAAATCAAACAAATTAAAATAAATGGCAAGACATGACAATTACAAAGCCGTTTTCACATTAATTTGTACATATATATTCGTTAAAATAGTTATTGATAATATTATACATAGAATGAGGATAATTCTTTTTGCACTGTTTTTGGGAAGGTAATATGGACTGGCTTAAAATCTTAGTGAACCTTTTTTTTCCTTCCAGTTTTTTAGTCATTTTTAAATGTCGGTATAAACCTCCTCTACGAATCAAATCTTTACTTGCCTTTATAAAACATTAGATTTGTTTTTATTTTATCCAGTTGAATGTGTGAATGAGAGAGACATTTGGCTCTGAATTCTGATACTATATTAAATTATTGCCCTTTAGTTTATTTCTTGCCATAAAAACATACAACAACGGACACACATTGTCCAGTTCAATTCATGTTATATATCTCTATATGATTATGTAGAAGATGATATTAATCATATAAAACTCTTATTATATATTGATAATAATTTTCCAAAAACCAATTCCAGTGGTTCCCAAAAATCAATGGCGCCACGCCATCAGTCATTCGATATTAACAAAATTCACAAACGTCTCTTTGTACAACGATGTATTAAATGTGGTATTTCAACTTTAAAAATGGTGATAACGAGGCAAAAATCTGTCACTTTGCTTAATTAATTAATTAAATTGATTGTAATATTTCTAGCAAGCCCCAACACTCTCGTACATCTCTATCTATCTCGATCTATATAAAAATTGATTCGAGTAATGATGGGCATCACAACAAGATCTCATTTTACAGCATCCAAAGTTTGCTAAATGAATCTTCATCTCTATCTTAAATTAAACAATAAGAAGAATGATGGGACCGAGATTAATGAACACAAATCATATTTATACTTTGATAATTTTATTAAGAGTTTGGAGAAGACACAAACTTTTGCTTTTGGAAATGATCGAAATCCTATAAGTATTCCTTAAAAGTACTGAGATTATGCACTTTAATTAATAGCACAACCAACATCATTTGGTTTCAAACTTTTATTAATATTATTTAATTAAGATTTCACATGCATTTATGTCGTAAATCTACTATTTGGAGACCATGTATATTTTATTTTATTTTATATGTTGATTTTGGAGAAGGGTTTTTGGTTCTTAGAATTCTAAAAATATCATAAACGTGTAAATCGAAGCCATGGGTTTGCTTCCTCTTTAAAGCTTTTGTGAGCACGTGCATGGAAGAACTTCAACGTCCATCCTTCTTTAATTGTCTCGAGATTGAAGTAAATAAGATTTAAGAGATTAGAGAAGCTCCTCTTCTCGATATGTGAAGCTAGGGTTTTCTTTTTTTTATATAATTAATGACATGTGATCTAATTCATCTTCAGATAGATATTACATTTAGTAATATATGAAATTATATTTTAAGAAAAATCAAAGTCAAAGGAGGAAATCGAAAGCTCCAATTATGTTATATTCTTCTCTTATCCATAAATGAATTAACACAATTATTTCTTTTTCTTTAAAATAAAACAATATATATATTACTTAAATATTTTGAAAATATATAAATGGATTTAGACAACTTTTTTTTTTGTTTGAAAAAGAAAAAGAAAATACATGTATTTTAATATATGAAACATTTCTTCTATTTCTCCCAATTAATTATTAAATACGTATTCTCATTGTTATTCTTCTCATAAAGTAATATTTATTCACTCCATGGCAACCTAAGAAAGATCATAGCATTTTTCTTATAAAAGTTTACTTTATTTATGGGACAAAAAAAACTTTTTCAAGAAGTAGACAGCATAAAATTGTCAATATTATTTGTGCTATAATACATGAATATTATTACTATTATTTCTGTTGTGATTTATGTGACGGTAAAAGGATAAAATATATATTAATTTATATTACTAATTGATATTATATAGATTAGAATTCCTAAAGAGAGATGAGTAAAAGTATTTAAGAGAAACCTGATAATTTACAAATACATAAAGGCCAAATTGTATGAAAGAAATTAATAGAGAGGGTATCTTGTATTAAATTAATTTAAGTTAGGTCAATGAAAGGGTAAAAAGATGGAGCTTACACTTAGAGAATCAGAAAAAGTATTTGATATCAACATAGAAAGAACCCAATAAACAGAATATTCTTTATGACTTTCAGGTTCTGTCTTGGATTAACGCAAACATTAATTCTTACAAACCACCATCTTACTCTTACCTTCAACCTTCTCTTTGCCAAAATTCTTAACTTAATTAATTCACTCTTCCACGTGAGAAAGGTGACTTCACTTTACATTTAATTAATTACTTAATAGCTAGCTGGCCAGCAGCTTAATTTCTTAAAAAAAAAAAAATTATTTATATTACCATTATTTCGTGGAATTTATTGTATTATCTTCTGTAAACTTCGATAAGTAAAACTTTGAAGAATATTGGTAAGAAAAGAGATCAATTAAAATTTGCTGCTTTTATTTTTAAAAGTTTTTTCATGTATTATTTAAAAGAAAAACAATCATGCATATAATCAATTTATTTTTTTTATTTTTTTGGTAAATAAATAGTATTATTAAAAGAGATAAAGAATGTACAGAGAGACCACAAAAAAACTAACTTCTACCTTAAGATATGCCTTGAGATAAAAACAAAAATACAAACCTAATAGATTAATAACATAATCTATTTTTTTAATCATCAATTCTTCCATGAAAATATTAATAATCTTTCAATGATGGAAAATAATTTTACAATCAATTAGGATTGATTACTAAATATTTCCTCGTTTCTCTCTTTGACTCGATGCATGTGTGAAATAATAAACCCATAATGGAAGATGGAGGTTTAATTATGAAGTTTAATTAATCAACAATTATTGGTTTTAGATTTTTGCCATGCAATAATTTGAAAGAAACAGGTCAATAATTAAGTAATATATTAATTAATGAGATTTACATCGATAATTTCTCCACCTCACTCGAGCTTATCGTTTGGTTCACGTGGTGACAGATCTTTTAATGGGTAAATAAAATGATAATTAAATTATTAAAGTGAAGAATGCATGCATGTTATTACATGTTGCATGAATCCAAGAGAGAAATAAAGCAAATATTAATTAAATTTAGGTATATAAATGTCAGATATAGAACACTACTTTTGAAGCAAGATCATATAGAAATCCTCAACAGGAGTCATGATTGATGTTAGTATTTTTAGAATTAGGTAAAACAGGTAAACAAGGAGGGGGCAGGAGAAGCAGATGACCCAGTCCAAATAATTTTTTCAATTAATTTAATTTGTCTGTCAATTAATTTATAAAAAGGGCTAATTTCTTGACCAAACCCTAACTTTTCAGTAAGTTTCAAATTACCCTTTTTGCGTGGGAAATTATTTCCTTTGTAGGTATATACTTATGGTATTTTCATTTAAGCATATAGCTATTTAGATTCTCTCTTAACAAACGGATGTCTGGTACTTGCGAAAGAGATTATCAAACAGCTATATGTTGTAGAGTTAGAAAAAACCTTAAGGAAGGCATTTTTGTTCAGTTCTCTTTATACATTCTCTTTTTACTATGCATGCTTACTTCAAACGACGGAAAAAAAAAAAAAAAAAAACTCAAGGAAATCAACAAAATTCTCCCAAGGTTATTTTATTGTACTTTATTGAAAAAAAAAAATATGAGTAGATAACATGAGACGGGGGACCTATGAACCATACCCCTTAAAAGAAACACATATACATGAAGCTAAGTAATAAGGAGCAAAAAGAGGGCATGATACAAAAGAATCCGCCATAAAAAAAAAAAAAAAAAAAAAAAAACTTCATCAGACTTAGTATCAATTGTTCAAGATCACCCCATTAGTAAAAATAATTCCTAGCCACCCTCTAATGGAGCTGAAAACTTTGGCTAAAATGGGAGGTGAGTGATAGTTTTCAAATTACAATGTGTTTGTAAAGTTAGAGCAAACCTCAAGGAAGTTAAGCAAAATCAGCAGCAACAAAACCAGTTCGTTTAAATTAATTAACTCCAACGCAACACTTTAAAAATTAATTAATTGATGATTACATACATGAAGAAAATTAAAAGATAGAAACATGATCATTAATTAATCCTAAGACCAAAAGCTAGGAAATAGTTCATCTACAGAATATGGTAATTGTTCAAGTTGATAATTATAATTATAATCACCAAAATAATCATAATTTGAACTACTGGTAATGTGTGTTAAGATTGGATCATAATTATATGAAGCATATAGCATCAGTTGTTGTTCCTCTTCATTATTCATCTCTTGATCTTCTCTTTGGATCTTCTCACTAATAAAATCATCACTTGTTATTTTATTCTCCACTTCTTCAAGAGACTTCATTATTGGTTGCCGCTCTTCTTCTTCATCAACAAAAACTACCGATGAAGATGAGGATGATTTCATCTCCATTACTGAACATCTTTCTCCAGAAATAATATCACTGCTTAATCCGTAACCTTTTCGAATATTCTCCAGCTCTTCTTGCACACTTTGTTTTCCCTTATACTTGATCTTGCACAGTCTCCATTCCTGACCAAATTTATATCAAATATCAAAATCTGAACAAAAAGTAGAACAAATTAATTGAATAAGAATGAAATTAAAGGGGTACCGTTGTGTAGGATTCTAGGCCATATTCATACATAATCCAGTTAGTCTTGATGGCTTTGTTGCGCTTTCTTTTATTGCCTGTAAACCTGTGAAATGTGAGAGGTCTTTTGTAACCAACCACGCATTTGTTATTAGCATAAATTTTCTTCACATGGCTTGTTGCTTTCCACCATCCTCGACCTGAAACTTCTCGTGAATCATTCTCTCTTATGCAGTAATAATATCTCTCATTTTTGTGTACCGCCATGGTGCGATCCCCTATCAACATCAAGTTTTATCCAATAAATTAACTTGTGTATATAAAACTTGCATAAGGTAAACGGCAGAAAAAAAGATTGAAGATAATCATGTTGCAACAAATCATTTAGACAAAATGATGGAAGAAAGTAGGCATATTAAAAGAGGTAGAAGATGAAAGATTTTTGTGGTTTTAATGAAATCCCATGTGTGAAACTAAAAGTTACAAAATCTGAAACCCTAAAACTAAAAGTAGTTGTGTACAGAAACAGTACTGTTGAAGAAGTTTCACGTAAGATATATATATATATATATATATAAGAAGAGATAAAAGAGAGAAGAAAATCAAGCATAACACATAACAAAAAGAAATTTAATTAGACAAAATGATCATTATCTCATTTCTTATTAAAAATGTTCTAGTAATTAATGTGAGGACTTATGATACAGTTTGAAGAAAGAAGGCATAATATTGAAAGAAGTTAAAAGATGAAATTTCTTTTGTGGATTACAAAATCTGAAACCCTAAAAGTAGCTGTTTTTGCACAGAAAGAGTACTTCTGAAGAAGGATCAAGTAAAGAAATATCACATAAAGGGATTTATAAAAAGAGATTAAAGAGAGAATAAAGGATTTCCTGAAAAGCTTAACAAACTTACACTCAAGTTTTTCAGGTTCATGATCATAAACATTTTTTTCAATAATGAAAGTGTCATGGAGAGGCATTTGTTTCCCACAAACTTTCCTTTCCAAAATTTCGATGAGCTCTTCATCGGTGGGATTAAACCTGAACCCAGTTGGCACAATCATCGGCTCTACTGAATATTGAAACAGAAGATAGTAAAACTCAACTAAGTTTAAGCCCTAGACTTGACACAACTTTTATATATATTGAGAATCTTTTAGATCCAAATAATAGAAAAATAATAAAGAAAAGATAAAGACAAGAGGAATGACCTCGTAAATGGTCTTGCATTTTAAACGATGTTTGAGAAGGATAATTAATTCAATTATGTGTAAGTAAGATTTATGATGAAAATTATTTGATGTTTTTTTATTGAAAAGGGAAAGGTGGTCGGCTAATTTGGGAGCTGTAAATGTAGATTGAAGCTGAAAATAAATAAATAAAATAAAATAAGATAACTAGAAAAATAGCAAGTATAATGATGGGGGTAGTCACGTCAGGGTGGAACCAGGGACATGTAGGTCAAAGTGAGAAAGACGACAAATAATAATAAGGGAGACTCAAAGCATGATAAATGAAGTTTGAAGGGTTTAAATTATATTTATTTTCAAAAGATTTGTGTTGATTAGGGTTATCTCTGGATCCCATATTCAACGGAGTAGATATTATTCATTTTGAAGTCAAGTTTGCACATATTTATTTTTACTCAAAATGTGTTTATTTANGAGTAGGTCAAAGTGAGAAAGACGACAAATAATAATAAGGGAGACTCAAAGCATGATACATGAAGTATGAAGTGTTTAAATTATATTTATTTTCAAAAGATTTGTGTTGATTAGGGTTATCTCTGGATCCCATATTCAACGGAGTAGATATTATTCATTTTGAAGTCAAGTTTGCACATATTTATTTTTACTCAAAATGTGTTTATTTATTTAAAGTAAATTAATTCCTATAAACTGAATGCAAGACTCGTTTCGCTAATAGTGTAAGATGTGATAGCATGATTGTAACGTCCACATTGAGGTACATAACTTATGTATATTTTTATGCCCTTAGTTTTGCTTATTTCAAGGAGAAAGATGGAAAAATCGACATTTGAAAACTTTGCCGTAGCAAAGGAATTTTGTCGTCACAGTAATGAACTTTTTGCCCAAATTTGTGTCAGAAATTTCAGACTTCGCTGAGGCGAAGAACTCTCTGAAAAGAAAGAATAAGAATAAGAATAAGAAATAATAAGAATAAGAATAAGAAAGCATAAGAGAAGAAAAGAAAGAAGAGAAAGAAGAGAAATAAAGAAAAGAAAGAAATACATAATAAGAATAGAAAACAGAAAAATGTGCACTTCTTGCATTTGTGCATGTGCATCACACTTATGCATAGCATTATGCCTACCACCATGAGTAGTGAGAAATTAGAAAGAAAGAAAGAGAGAAGAGATATTGAGAAATTAGAAAGAAAGAACAGAGAGATAAGAATAGAGTAATGTAAGGAAAGAAATTAAAATGTGAGCAACGGAGAGAAAAACCTAGTTTAGCGGATTTACTTACTGAGCAATTAGCACTCATTCCATTGTTTCTTTGTTTTTGCAAGAAATAGGTGAGAAGCAGTCGGATGGACGTCGAGAGGCGGAGGAAAATGGCACCACTATCTACTATTTTTGAGCTTATGTACATGAGACTTTTATTAATGTAAAGAATTTTATATATGAAGTTAAGAAATTTTCGGGCCCATTATCTTTTACTAATATGTTTATGTGTTTTTAATGTATTATATTTTCCAAGTATACTAGCTAGAAAGAGTCATTACATTTTTGGTATCAAAGCCAAGATTTTCGGATTTGATAGTATGCCTCTCCCGCCGCATTGACGTTCTGTAGCCGACCATTGTAAGATTATTTCTTTCCTTACTTATACTAGTAGATAACTTATTTGAGTTGATTCAAGTGTTGGTGTTTGTAGATGAGACGTAGAACTCGAGCAGGTAGCAACAAGGGGATGAGTGCAGGAGAAACTTCTAACCCGCCAGAACCTACTTCCCCTACTCTTGATGAAGCAAGAATCTGTAGTATTGTATAGAAAGTGCTAGTGGAAAGTCAGGGGAGAGTTATATCAGAAAGAGTTGAAACCCCCGTCCAAGTACCGACCATTAGGGAAGGAAGAGAAAGGCTGGTACCTCCAACAGTACAGAATCATATCGAGCCTATTTATGGGCTCCCAACCAACACCAACCGTCAGAGTTCAGGGGTACCACAGACCCGTTAAAGGCTGAGGAATGGTTTAGGTCCGTGGAACAGACAACAACACTTTTTCCCATGACGAACAAAGTTTAGATACGGTATGCAAGCTTTCTTTGTCCGTGATGTGATGGCAGGAGCCGAGCCCCCTCATACTTATAGTAAGGCTTTGGAGCGAGCCTTACGGGCTAAGATCTTTGTGAACAAGCTCACCCCAGCCGGTCCATCAATAACAAGATCAAGTGACCCATCCCCCGTTCCACAGAGAGAGAAAGTTGATGTTACAAGAAATAGGGAAGTGAGGAACAAGAAAAGATTCCAACATAAGAAGAACAAGAGAGACTGGCAGAGTAAACGGCCAAGAATTGCTGATTTTCCCCTATGTCCAAAGTGTGGGAGGAACCACATAGGGGAGTATTTAAGAGAGCTAGGCCGAAATGTATGCTATAGGTGCCGATAGCCAGGGCACTTGATGAAAGATTGTAAAGCTCCTTTTCCACCCGCAGCACAGACTTCCAAAGGTACCAATGTCAGGGTGTTTACAGTGGCACAGGGTGAAGCAGAGGCCAGCCCATTCGTAGTTACTGGTCATATATTATTTCATGTAGTTCTTCTTTATACTTTGATTGATTCTGGAGCCACTTATTCTTTTATTACTCATGGAATGATAGAAAGATTAGGCTTGAAACCTATTGTAGTAAGTCATACTATTAAGATAGAATTACCTGATGGGGTTAGTGTGGTAACCCATGAGTTGCTTCCAGGGGAGTTTGTAGTAATCCATGGAAGAGAATTATCAGTTGATTTGATAGTATTTGATATGCCCGACTTCAATGTTATTTTGGGCATGGATTTCCTAGGGAGACATGGAGTAGAAATTGATTGTTGAAAGAAGAAAGCAAGATTTAATCTCGATAACAGAGATGAGTTTAGTTTTGGATAGGGCCATCAGTTGAGTATGTTAATCAGTAGTGTAAATGCTAGAAAGATGTTAAGAAAAGGGTGTTCTAGGTACATTGCCCATGTGGTGCAAAGTAATGACGTCCCACAACCAGAGATTTAGAATGTGCCAATAGTTCGAGAGTTTTTAGATGTATTTTCGGAAGATTTGCCGGGTTTACCTCCAGAAAGAGAAGTAGATTTTAGTATTGAACTGGTATCAGGGACAACACCAATTTCTAAAGCACCTTATCGAATGGCCCCAGCCGAACTTTAGGAATTGAAGAAGCAACTCCAAGAACTCCTAGATAAAGGCTTTATCCGACCCAGTCATTCTCCTTGGGGAGCTCCAATTCTGTTTGTGAAAAAGAAAGATGGATCGCTATAGATGTGTATAGATTATAGAGAGTTGAATAAAGTGACAGTAAAGAATAAGTACCCGTTGCCTCGAATAGATGATTTATTTGATTAGCTGAAAGGTGCAGTAGTGTTTTCCAAGATTGATTTGAGGTCAGGTCATCATCAAGTAAGAGTGGCGGAACACGATATTACCAAGACTGCTTTTCGGACTAAATATGGGCATTATGAGTTTGTGGTGATGTCTTTTGGGTTAACCAATGCCCCAGCAGTCTTTATGGATTTAATGAACCAAGTGTTTCATGATTGTCTCGATCAATTTATAGTGGTATTTATTGATGACATCCTGGTTTATTCCAAGTCAAGAAAGGAGCATGAGGAACACTTAAGATTAGTGTTACAGCAATTGAGAGAAAAGAAGTTGTTTGCCAAGTTTTCTAAGTGTGAGTTTTGGCTAGATCAGGTGATATTTCTAGGCCATATTGCCTCTAAGGAAGGTATATCAGTGGATCCTAGCAAAGTGAAGGCAATTCTTGAGTGGCAAAAGTCGAAGACAGTAAAAGAAGTTAGAAGTTTCTTGGGACTAGCAAGCTATTATCGGCGGTTTGTAGCAGGATTTGCTCAGTTGGCTAAGCCGCTTACAGCTCTTACCAAATAAAGAATTCCTTTTATATGGTCAGATGCTTGTGAAGAGAGTTTCCAAGAGTTGAAGAAAAGATTAACCACTGCTCCCATTTTTGTGTTACCTCAAAAGGGTGTAGATTACGACATTTATATGGATGTCTTACTACAGGGACTTGGTGTTATGTTGATGCAGTTGGGTAAGGTGATAGCTTATGCTTCTCGACAGTTGAAAGAGTATGAGACAAGATACCCTACACATGATTTAGAGTTGGCAGCTGTAGTCTTTGCATTAAAGATATAGAGGCATTACCTATATGGTGCTAAGAGTAATATCTACACCGACCACAAAAGTTTGAAGTATTTCTTTACTTAGGGGGAGCTGAATATGAGACAGAGAATATGGTTAGAGTTGGTTAAGGATTATGATTGTGAGATTAAGTATCAGCTTGGAAAAGCTAATGTAGTAGTTGATGCCTTGAGTAGAAAAGTCTATTTGTCCCGACTCACAAAGCAGAAAGAGTTATTGAAAGAATTGAGCAGAGAACAGATTGAGGTGATACCAAGAAGGATTACCAGGTTAGAAATTCAGTCCACCTTACTAGAAGAGATTAAAGAAAAGCAAGTTGTCGATGAGTAGTGTTAGAAAATGAGTCAGCAAGTGCCTGAGGGCAAGATACCAGAGTTTCACTTGTTAGATGGTGTCCTCCGTTTCAGGAACCGCTTATGCATTCCCCAAGATGCTGAGTTGAAGAAGAGAATTCTTACGGAGGCTCATGACACACCATACACTGCTCATCCTAGAGCAACCAAGATGTATCAAGACTTAAAGAAAGGCTATTGGTGGCCAGGTATGAAGAGAGATATTAGAGATTTTGTGGCTAAGTGTTTGGTTTATCAACAAGTGAAAGCAGAACACCAAAGGCCATCAAGATTGCTTCAGCCACTTAACATTCCTGAATGGAAATGGGA